TCCTAGCGACACATAAACTCAGGAAAAAAAGTCCCAAACATTGAAACAGGAATGGCTCCATGTAGAATTAAGCAGTTACATCAGCTTGTGAGGGCCAGGGCTGCCAGAAGAGAGGTCTGAGGAGAACAGCGCACCGCACGGGTGGGAGCTAGGAGGTGACGGGGGGGAGGGGAGGGGGGGGCGGGAAAAGGTCTTCCTCTGCCTCTTCTGTCCCGCCTGCCTGTACTCTGAGCACCAGGGCCAGCTGCGCACAGTGGATGTCACACCGACAAGGTGCGCTGCAGCCAGAAGCCATCTCACATACAGCCCCTAGCAGGGGGCCTCGGTGTCACTCCTGTCCCTGCAGCTGCCAAGGCACTTCCACTCTCCTTCAGTTCCTGCCTGCCCTCTCCAGCCACGAAGAGTATACTCTGGTCAAGACTTCATCCAGCCCCGAGCTTAACCTACCACTTCTCAGCACAGACACCCGGAGACGAACAGCAGGCCACGGCGTCCTGCTTCGCGGATAAACGTCTCCCGCCCCGAGTGGTGGTTCTGGAAGAGCTGTGTGGCACGGGAGAGCGGCGGGACAGACCCACTAACGCGGCCGAGCCTGGCGGGGCAGCCAGGCGAAGAGGAGCCGCGCTGGGAGTTGGCGGCCCTCACCGCGCCTGGGACGGGCGCCGAGACGCAGCGATACTGACATCACCGGGATGCCCGACTGAGGGACGGATGGAAACGACCGTTTCCACCCCGCAGCACGAAGGGGCAGCAACGTCACCGCCAGCCCGCTGCTCCTCGGCCCGCCGTGGCCCCCCGCGCCCCGCCGCGACTGCGCGGGCCCGCCAACAGCCGGGCAGCGCGCGTTCGTGCCGCCAGGGGGCGAGAAGCCCGGCAGTGGCCAGCACCTGCCGGCAGGTGTGAGTTAGAGCAGCGGGAAGGCGGCCGAGTTACGCTGCGTGCGGTGCTGCGCGTGCTGCGGCTCACACCACCTCTCCGCTGGCCTCAGCGGCATCGAGGAAGCCTTTGAAGAACAAAAGAATATAAGAATAAAAGAATATTGCGCTCTGTCATAAATAAGTAACCAATAAAACCGCGTCATGCCGGTAGGTAAAAGGCAATACACTTTTCAAATTTCTCATAAATCAAGCAAACAGATAGGTTTCTTAAATGAATACGCTGTACCTCAGGCAGACTGGTTTCTAAAGTGAATACGCTGTACCTCAGGCAAACTGCTTTCACTTTAAAATAAATAACTTTTAGACTGTGATTTGTTAAAGCAGCACACACTTGATCAAACTGGTCAGATCATTTGAAGGAAATTGCAGCTACTGGATGCTATTCATTTAACAGTAGAGAGCCAGCAGATACAATTTGTTTGCTGTTCAAAAAAAAAAAAAAAAAGCACCACCAAACAAAAACCCGATTAGAATGGCACACTGGAAGGATAATTTGCTCCGCTTGGGCATACTGGCAACCTCTAAATTAACTGTAAGTACTCACAAACAAGACTGAGATGTATTTGAGCACTGTGAAAACATCTTCCCAGTGCAGAATGGCAACTGAAAAACGCTTACAAGATATTCCATTGCTCGAGATGGAATGCTGACTGAAAATCCTGCAATGTAGCCATACACAGTCTGTTCTTTCACTGTCACAGAACTACTGAGTTCATCAGAAGCTGTTTGGAATCTGTCAGAACATCACAGAAAACTTAGCTCAAGCAGAAGAGGCAGAGGAGAGCGCTGATAAGTATCTTCAGGCATGTGGAAGGAAGAAATTAAAAACTGGGATAGATCAATGCGAAGAGTGATATGAAGACAATAAGAACAAACAGTGGTCCCCCGATCTTTGCTGGCTCTGAGCAAGAGCACCAGAGATGCAGGGTATCCAGTACCATAATCTGCTCTCTCTATCAGCCCCCCTTTCAATTTACTGTGCTGGTAAGCAACGTTAAAATGTCCCACAGGCAATGGGTTGCTCTGAGCCATGTGCTGGATACTACCTGGATAGAGGAATATGAGATTATTAATGCTACAGGAGAGGTTTACCAGGAAGTATCTGTCTAGGATTAGGTGACAGCATGGATAGTATTCATGGATAATAATTATCTGTATGAGCAATAATAGGGTCTGTCATTTACTGATAATTCTCACTAGGATAAAATATTTATGAAGACTCTTCCATTTTTTTTTGTTTCAAAATAAAAGCCAACCATTATGGAGTTGAGGGTTGGAAAGAAATTTCCTTGTAGGTTTGTTATGTAATTTTTTCATAATGGGGCTCTTCTGAGTTCCACCAAGTCACAAAGCAAATGGGTAAAGCAGTGTGTAATGGCTCTCTGCCGATGCCAGGTTCAGGACTAGATGGCTCATCCATTAAAAATCTGGAGATACTGGAAATTTAAAATCGAATTATGTCAATGGGAGTGGCACACATGGATTAAGTTTATGGTCCCTGGGGTGTCTTTTCTTATTAAAAACGCAAATTTAAATGACAGTTCTGCATTTCTGGAATACACTGTGTTTGTGACTTCTACACTGAGCATATCAAAGGGTTAAGAAGTTGAGTCACACCTCATCTACTGGGGAATGCTACAGCATTGTGTGAGGTATGCAGTCTTTAGTAGAAACACATGCCCTCAGTTTGGGTGTGCATTTTGATACAGTTCACCCAAAGGCTGCAAACTCACCGACCCATTTGGACCCTTTCTTCAGACATGATGCCTGAAGATGGTTTCTGCAAACTTGAAGTCCTGTACCAGGGTTCTGGGCACAACGTCCACTGAATGTCTCTTGTGACCTCTACCATGCACCCATCCTCACCCTTTTGAGCCCCAGCTTTGGAAGAAAATTGTGCTATGTTGAGGACTGATTTCATGAAGAAATACCCGCTTCCCTCCTTTTGTTACATTTTACATAAGATTTTCTAATTCGATCTTTAGAAATCTTCATTGGATTTAAAAATAATGTATTCATGTGGGAGCACAAGGTATACAAAAAAATACATAGGTATACCAACATACACGTGGAGAAAAAGAGATGTGATTCTTCATATAGAAGATGCTTCAAATGAAATATTTATTATTAATACCTAGACTTGTGCAATTTTAACCAAAACTCATGTATTAATTTACTGGAATAAAGAAACATAATTATAAAAAAGATTCAAAGTTGCACTAGCTGATTTTATACACTATTATACACTAATTAATATACTAATTAATAAAGTATAGACCTAAGTGGAAATCATGACTTTTTTTTTTTTCATGCTCTAAAAACTCTTTGAACGTGTTATTTTCCTATTTTATTCTCCATTTTAAATTTCCTCCTAGTCTTTATATATTTCACATTGTCAGTACACACGGAGAGTTTTAGCAAAGCGCTGGTGGATTTCGAAGCAGGTGGCAACAGGTGCTGGGAAGGACATAGCGTTCCACGCTGTTAGATGGAGAACAATATGCCCCTCTAGCTGCTAGAGACGCTAGTTCCAGTTTTCCAGCACATTCTGCAACATTCCCAGATACAAACGGTTTCATATGGAGGTGGGCAAAGGAAGGACAGGTGTGGGAATTCTGCGAGGCCTTTGTGAATCCGCAGAAACTGGAAGCTGCCTCCATCAATACATCCCGTCAGACTGCGTGCGCGCCATTTCGGGGGCTACGGGAGGCAAGTTATCTTTCCCGTATGCCATCCTAATCAGGTTTTGTTTGCTGTGTTTTTTTTCTGAACGACAAACACTGACAGCTCTTCTGGGACCTGGGCGAGAGGGACCAGGACAAGAGGCGGCCGCGATCAGGGTCGGCTGAACAGCGCCTGCAGCACAATCGGAGTACAACCGGCGCCACGCGGGTCGGTGCCTCTCGGGCAGCTTCTGACGCTTCCCGCCGCTCCTGCGGCCAGCGCCTTCGCTTCCCCGGCGTGCGGCAGCGCCCCTCGGGCAGGGCGTCGGGGATGCGGCATGAAACCGCGGAGAAGGGACTTCTTCCTCCTTGTCCCTTCTCTCCGTCCCTGCCTACCCAAGCCAAGTCGCTAGGACTGGCACGGAATAAAAACGCGTTCACGGCGCCTGAAACCGAGTGAGGAGAACGCGCACACGGGCGCTCGGGAAGTCGCTGCCCCGCAGCTCGAGCCGGACGCTGCAACCTTCCTCGCGGCCATTTAGTATGAGGAGCCAACGGGTCTCTACTTCCAGCCCCTCCTTCCAACCCCCCGCCGCCCTCCACCCGCGCTCCGCACCGGGAGGGTGAGGGCGGCTCTAGGCTGCTGGGAGGCCCAGCTCCCCTCCCGCTTCGCCTCCTCCCCCCCCCGCCAGCGTGCGGGGGCAGAGCGGGCGAGGCGGTGGGAGAGGCGGTCCGCCATGTTCCTGCCTCACCACGCCCGCTGAGCTGAACCCTTCAAAAGCCGGGAGCGCCGGGCCTGTGTCTGAGCGCTGCCTTCGTCCCGGGCGGGCCTCCGGGACTCTTCGTAGCTCCCGGCATTACTGGCAGGGAAGGAGCGAGCCACGGCAACTCTCTGGCAGCTCCCCAGCAGCAGCTCTCCCAGCCACAGGGCGAAGCGCCCGCCCCGCCGCCGCGCCGGGAAGGAGCGTCAGCTGTGAGGAAGCGCTTCCCAGCGGGCAGCGGCGGGCTCGCAAAGCCGGCGGGAGCTGTGCTCCCGCCCTGGGGCACGGGGAGCGGCAGGGAGATGCGTGTGCGGGTCAGGGGTGGGATCGACGGGCCATAGCGTTTGCACGGGGGTGGGGTGGTCTCGTCGGACGGCAGTGGGGGTGTCGGCTGCCAGGGAACGCGCAGGGAGAGCGGCGGCTGCAGGCGGCGGGGGAAGGGGAACCGGAGAGCGAGGGGTGGCGGTGACGGGCGGCTCGGCTCGGTATCGCTGCTGCCTCCGCGGTGCATGTTTCCATGTTTTGTGCATGATTTAGAGGAGAGGAGGAGTTGGCAGCGGCGGGTGTCAGCGGTAGGGAGCGGGGATCCGCGCCGCCAGCGGCCCTACCTCTTCGCCGCTGTGTAGTACCGAGGCAGCTGCCTACCGCTTACCCTGAGGCGCCGGGCGGGACTCCCGGGCAAAGAGCGCCTGTGCCCCCAGGGCCGGTGCGGCGGCGGGGTGCGTGTGTGAGAGCGTGCGTGCGATTTTAGGGGGGTGGGGGTTGTGTCTGAACCAGTTAGGAAGAATGACTCTGGAGTCCATCATGGCGTGCTGCCTGAGTGAGGAAGCCAAGGAAGCCCGGCGGATCAACGACGAGATCGAGCGACAGCTGCGTCGGGACAAGCGGGACGCCCGCCGGGAGCTGAAGCTGCTGCTGCTGGGTGAGTATGGGCTGCCGTCACCCGGATCAGCCCGGCCCGGCCGCCTCGGCTCGGCCAGGGCCGCCGCTGGCAGGCACGCCCCGGGTGTCGCTGGGGCTGCAGTCCCGGCATCGCCGCCGCCGCCCCGGGCTCCCTGCAGCCGGCACGTTCCGTGGCGGGGCCGGGGCTGCTGCGGGTCTGGCTGGGCAGCCCTGGGCGCTCGGCGCCTTCGCCGCGGGGAGCCGCAGGCCGTGTCCCCGCCGCGGCGGGGCGTGTGTGCCCGGCGGCAGGGCGAGCGGTTGCGGCCGGGGGACTTCGTGTGCGCTGGAAACGGCCTTCCAAAATGGAGTGGGGAGGGATGGCGGGTGAGTGGGGGAGAGAGGGGGGGCAAATCTTAGATGTTGTTGTTTGGAGGAGCGGTGGCAGGGATGCGGGTTAGCAAAGGGAGTCGTAGGGGAGTCGCTGTACAGATCGATGGTGGCGGGTTTAGTATATGCATTGTTCTGTGAACCCCGGGAAGGTTGTTGGGTCGCTGGTCCTATTTTTTTTATTGTGATTTTCATTTAATGAGGTAAACTGGGATAAGAGGCTTACGTTCAGATTGTAGAAAGAGTAGAGAACTGCAAAGCCCCAGATGCGCACACGAAGCCGAGGAGTGACCTGAAGTATGCCTGAGGGTGACAGGATCTTTAATACCTTCAGAATCCACCCACTGGTCAGGAAATAAAATCTATTGTATCATTTCTCTTTATTTAAAACACAGGTTGTTATTTTAGAGCTGCAAGTATGCCGAGGCAGTGTTTATTTAACAAAAATTTGGCTTATGTTAAAATAAGCCTTTTGAATTAAAATACGCCTATCTGCATCCACTTTGCTGTACTATGCCGTACAGCTGCCGTGGCAATACAGCTTCTGTTGGGGACTTGCAGGCCTTGAAATTTGCCTGCACCACTGTCTGGTGTGTGGATGAGTGGGGATGTTCCAAGTGGATGCGGGATGTTTATGCTGAAGATTTTTGTCTTGGGTTATGTATATGAAAGTCGTGATTTATAGGGAGGGGGAGTAAACTGCCTTTTCAGTGAGGTAAGGAGAGTTGAAAGGAAAAGTCAGAGTACATTTTGGTGCTTCCATATAAATATGCTGTTTCTTGCAGCTTGTCTTCTGTATATGGAGAAAGGTGTTGGGATCCTTAACTGGTGTAGGCAGCAAGTGATGGAGACAGTAATAACGTTCTCTCTCATTTTGGCTGGGTTTTCATTTGTGGAAGTGCATGTTGCGACTGTTTTGGGATTCACAAAGAAGATAAAATAGGAGATAGCTAGCTTGTCTTTGCTTCATTTTATGAATTTTTAAGTATAATCACCTAATGATACACATTTGCTTCAGGAGAGGTAGTTGGCATATTTGACTTGCTAACTTGGGTCCAAATTGTTTCTGTATTTTCCTGACTTTTTTTCCTTGCAGTAGTGCTAGAGGCTTCTCCCAATTTTTAAAAAATGCATGAAATTTACTGAATCAGATCAATATATATTAACCAGAGAGAGAATTTGGAGATCCCCTTATGCACTCAGTAATGCAGAGCTTTGCAAGGACCTCTTGCCTGTAATGTGAGGTGTAGTCATAGGTTGTGGTAGATTGGGGTCCAGCTGTAGCATGCAAGTGGCATGCAAATGGCATGTAGTGACTTGAGGGAGAACGGGAGAAACCAACCTGCAGAAAGTGTTGGGAAGAACTCTTGAGTGCCTGTATGAAAAGCTTTTGCATTCATTATCAGTTCAAACCAAGAGTTCTGACACGCTTGTGAGGGCATAAGAATAGTGTGCTAGAGACCAAGTGGGGTGAATGTTTGGGTGCTCATAATTAACTGTGTGTCTGTGCAGTGCAGAAACTGTTACTGTGCACACACTTTTGGTCCTTTGCTTTGTCAGACTCTGTCATTGATCTGAAAGTGTGTGTGCATGTGCAGCTGTTTGGATTAACACTTGATGATCTCATCTTGTAAAATGCAGTATAGTGGTGAGCTACTGTTGGAGTCATGGGATTGGGTAGAGATTCAAGTTTCAATTTATAAACAAATTTTGAGGAAAACTTTTTGTATTAGTGGGTTTATTTTAAGTATCTGTCAGCATTTTCATTTCTTTTCTTTTTTTTTTCAGTCACTCTCGCTGCTGCCCCAGCATAGGCAGTTGCTTGACAGTTAAGTTTGTCTTGTTTGTGTGGATCATTCACATGGTTATGAGACAGAACCATTTTAAAATATGCAAGTAGTCATTAGAAACAGTGAGGCTGGTAGCATGAAAATATCCTGAAATTGTTTGAAGTTGTTTTTTTTTTTCTTAATTTTTTAAATCGAATAGGCCTCTACTGTCCCATGTTTCCACCTCAAACTTAAATTACTGGTGTTACTTAATTTTACTGTATGTAAGTGTAGGTGAACGTGGTTTTAGTTTGTGGGTTTGTTTGTGGTTTTGTTGTTTTTTTTTCCTCCCTGAAGTGCCAACTTCTCACTCCCATTTTGTAAAAGTATTGTAGGACTTAAAAGCCTAAGTGGGTTAAAGGCTTTTGACTATGACACTGAGGCTCATAAAAAGAGTACTGGTACAGTTTAAGATGAGCTATGTTAATTGAACCATGTGTGTTCTTGTTGCAAGTACAGAGTAAAAGGTAATAACTCAAAGTTTTGAGGCACAAAGAAGCTTTTCTGTGCCAGATTGTTTTCTTATATTTGTTTAGAAATTAGATGTACACGCATACAAATGCACAAATGTAGAAAATACAAAAGAAACAAAGTGCATCAGGAGGTTTTTTTTCTTCCTTAACCTGTGGAAGATACAGTGCTTTCTTGCTAAGTGGGTTAGTTTTCTCCTGTAACTATGAGACACACACCCTGCTTGGTACACCCTAATTTTGTATTAATGTTGATTTTTACTTTTCATGGGATGAGATTGTTCAAAATATGAGGTCATTTATGGAAAACTTTTCTACTGCATGCAAAGATTATTTTTAAGTATTGAAGTAGACTTTCTCTATGATTAAACATTAAAATGCCACTTTTAGGTAGTTCTTGTACATCATTGCTTAATATTTTGGAACAGATTACAGCAGGACAAAGTATTTTTTTGTTTTAACTATTGTAATTCTACAAAGCTAGACTCCAGCAATATGCACTGAAGCATATTACATAGTAGTAGTTTGGCTAGCACAACTTGGCTGTAATGTTTTAAGGTGCTCTGAAACAAGTGCAGTCTTTCACTGAATTTGGTTTTAATCTCATGTGTTTGCTAAACTCTTATGGATTTCGTTATGGCTGAACAATTTGTAAAAACCCTATGATTGTTCTCCAGAGTTTACGGTTGTTAATATCCACCCATTGTTTGCTGTTAGCTGTAAAAACACTTGCATTGTTTTTAAACTGGGAAAAGAAAAAAAAAAGTGTTTTAATGATTTATATTGGTATATGCCAAACAAAATGTATAGTGTTCTGCATGCTTGCATGCATTTTAGGCATGTATGTACATATTTATTGTTAAGTAGCAAGAGCCATGTCCTCTAGTTCTTACCATATGTCGTTTTGCTTGTCGTTCATGGAAATTTTGTATGGTCTCAGGAAGCAGCGTTTAAGCCTGTATGAAAGATTGTAGCCATAAACCTTCAATCCTGGATACCCTCTGCTTTGAGGCTGTATGTGTTCGTATTACGCATCTTCTCAGTGGGAAATTCCTTGAGTATTTAAGAAGATAATCTGACAGTGTCATGCTGGCTGTGCCTGTGCATGTATATACCTTGGCCAAATGGAGTACTGGAGGTGTGTGACAGTATTTGCTGTTTTATGGTATATGTGCTACTGTGGTGTCATGTGCAAAACTTTTTTTTTTTAAGGGGTGGGTGTTTTTTATGTTTGAGATAGCAAATGTGTCAGTAAAGAGAGTTGCCCAAGTGTCCTTTTTTAACTCTCTGCATTACCAAAGGAAACAGGTGGAGGATAAGCCATTTGAATTAGCATGAATAGGAACCAGTCTTACATGGAAAGATGCCCTTGGACATAAGGGAGATGTCCAGCAAGCATGCAAGATTTGTATGTGTTTCTTACACCTGTATCAGTTGAACTGAAGATTTAGATACAAAACCTGGTGACTTAAGATTTTCTGTAGATAAGTTGAAAAGGAAGCGGGTCCTTTAAGCCAACAATGGAATACACTGGTTTTATGTAATGTTTTCTTCAGATGGAGAATCAAAAAAGGCTACCTTATTTTTCTGGTAACTTGTATCAGTCTTTCCTACTCAAACTGAATACTTCAGAATAATTTTAGGTAGTTAGGACAGTACGTAACTAAAATGAACAAATAGTTAACATACATCTTGATAGGTAAATACATCTTATTTAGAAGAAGCTGTTTCTAAGGAAATATAATTTTCTGGGTTAAGAGCACCTTGGTACATTCTCACACAGACATTTCTGTAAAACTCTCTTTTAAAATCATCATCTGGACATTGGTGTGATAACATATGAAGAACATCTATTTAAGAACATATTTAAGGGGTTATTAAAGGGATATTTTGTTTGCAGCCATTAAAAATGTGTTGTTGCTCTTTCAGCTTTACGTTTTTAAAAGTGGTGTGCACCCACAGAAAGTAACAGGAGCTAGCTGAGGGCCTGAATAATCAAGGAATTGTAACCAATTTAATTTTATTCATATGTCTAAGAGCCAGGTGACCTCAAATTTATATCTTACATTGATAAACAATATTGAGTTAGTGCAGGAAGGAAAAGTATATGCTGTGCAGAAGACTCCCTTGAGAATGGACATTTGAGTGAATCCTGAAAGTTAAGGAATAATTCTGCTTCTTTAGCTGCTTAAAATTATTTTTGTTGGTGTTCATAGGGGAGAGCATTTCCTTGGAAATAATATGATGACCTCTGCAAAATTAATCCCAGGAAGCTGTGAAACAGCATTAGAAGGTAGATGTGCGATTAATGGTAATTAGCTTTGTTGCAGTAATAGAATGCTGTAAACACACCA